GGAAACTACTGGCCCTAGTATGGGCGTTAAAGAAACTTCGGAATTATTTATACGGCGTGAAACATTTGAATATTTTTACGAAACAGAAGCCTCTGATATCTTCCGCTTCAGATCGCAATCCAAACAGCAAAATTAAACGTTAGAAAGCGTTCATCGGCGGCACAATGCAAAAATCTTTTAGAAACCTGGAAAAGAAAATTATATAGCTGAAGACCTATCCAGACAACACAATTACTCCTTAGAAGAAGACGTACAGTCGGATATTGCGACAGTACATAGCGAGTTGTCCCTCACTTACACAATCGAAAAGACAGACAAAACAGTAAACTGCTTTCGGAAGAATTCAGTAAGAACAACCATTGTGTTTGGTAAGAAAACTCGACTTTTCTTGTATTTCTCAGATAGAGAAAGACTTTTCCAAAGAATATGCGATGTAGTTAAAATTGATGTGGTAAATTCAATTTTTTGTGATTTAAAAATACTGGCATTCATTCAACACAGATTAGAGGCATCATTCCCGCCAACTACATTCCGTGTTACACAGGCGCATGGCAACTGACATTTTTGACAATAACGAATAGAATGAAACTACCGTCTTGGAACACAATAGGTTACATAGAGCCGCCCAGGAAAATGTAAAGCAAATTATGCAGGACTACTTTTTCCCAAAAACGACGATAGCTAACGAGGTAGTGTCAAACTGTAACTTCTTAGAGAATTTGCAAATGCAAAACACTCATTCCATCATATACTGGGGACATGTTGCATATTGGCATTTTCTCAACTGAGAAGAAATGCTTTTTCACTGCGTTGATAAATTCTCAAAATTCGCAATTGTCCAATTAATCGCTTCCAGAACAATTATAGACGTGAAATCCGCCATTTTACAGCTTATGAACTATTATCCGAGGACAAAACAATATATTGTGGCAACGGACCATCTATTGCTTCTGAAACTTCTGAAGTATATTTTGCATATTCGATTTAATGTAGAAATCTCTAATGCTCTACCCCTTCATAGTTGCTCAAATGGGCAGGTAAAGAGATTTCACAGCACCTTGGTGGAAATAGCACGATGTCTGAATATCGAAAGAAACATTGAAAACTAATTAATATATCAAGCAACAATAGAATACAATAGGACAATTCATTCAGTCACAGATAAACGACCCATTCACATAATTCATACGTTGACTAGTGAACTTAACACAGAAATTAGGGGAACATTTTTAATACACAGAATATTCAGTTGCAAAGGTTAAATCAGGGAAGACAATACAGACTTTTCAAAGTAGTGGACAAAATCCTCGTAAAATCAAATAAACGATTAGGAAATAAACTTACGCATTTGTACACCGAAGAAACAGTCGAAGCAGAATTGCGGAATAAACTGAATACGAATAATTTACGGTATATTGGCGAAATGGAGAATGAACTTTGGAAAATACCTAACCACTGTAACCTTCTTGATCAGTTGCGACGCTCTTTTCAAACATTACTAGAAACGTCAGAAAGTCCGACTACAAAGGGAGCTTCAAGTTGTTATTGACAATTTCAGGAAGTCCGAGGACGTCCTTCATCTAAGCGAGGGAGGAGTTAACACAGTCTCTCATCAATAACTTGTCGTGAAATAAAACACGCGTTGACAGCATGATGTTGGTGCTAAGACATCACTTATTGCATACATCATACGATGAAATATTTGCAACTCGATACTTCAACGGCTTGTAAAAATAAAATTCACTTCAACTCAAAATTTTTTTTGTAAAGGGCGCAACGTCTTAAGACTTGCGTAAGCAATTATTCTAACTTATACAATATTCTATAATCGGAGCTACCATTTATTCACTTTTTAAAAAATCCATGGTAAAATTTGCAAAGATCATCAAAAAACCGAATATTGGGATGTACCATTACACGGGGGCTATACCAAAACGTGTCCGTGATTTCAACAGATAGACAAACGAACATCGATAAATTTTGTATGTTGATCGTGTATATTTATGGGATCTATGACGAATATTTACAAACTGAATGACTAATTTAATATGCCTTCCTTTCCAAGGTGGAGGGTATAAATACATAATGATACATAATAAAGTTAAACCTATGTTCATTGCTTCGATTTCTTATTTGTAAACATTGATTTTAAGCTGCCTTTGCACTTTTCCGCTAAAATCTCCCATTCGTAATTAAAATAATAAGAATCGTATACATAACAATAATCAAATAGCCCAAAAAAAGTCTAAGCCGTCCTTCAATTCACTGTTCAATAATAAACAAAACAACGTCGAATTTTATATTTTAATTTTATTGTCATCTATCAGCGAGTACAAACTGTCTTATTCCTCATACTGTCAACTTATAATTACGTTATTATGTACAAGGGAAGGCCACAATATTAGAAAAGAGGTTCTAATACACTGGTAGACGGACAGACTAGAGCACCCGCGTACTCATAAACATGATTAAACATGCTCACGAATAGATAGACGGAATTTCAAGCATTTCCCACACCACATTAATTATCACCATCATGGAACATGCTTACTGACTGACGTATGGACAGAGGGAATTCCAAGAGTTTCCCACACCAATCCATTATGAACACGATTGAACACGTTAATGTTCATTAGACAAAAATTATCACATTTTTATTCGACTGACTAGTCGAATTCTTGCTTTAAAAAGCATAAGTCCTAAGGCATTCATTTTTATAGACTCCATCATAGTATAGAGTTTGTAATTCCGGTTTTACACCTTGAAATATAAATTGTAGACCCCACAAAGTACAGACATTCTTGATCAGAATAGCGTTCGATTTAGCGATGACCTTCCGTCTGTGAAAATCACAATTTTCGGACAAAATGAAGTAGGTTGATCAAGTTCTTAGCCCCCATATTATTATAACAGCAGATTTTAGGGCTTTTGTTGTTTTTTCACCACTTTAATTTGTTGTAAATCTTCAGTTCGTGTTCCCAGTATGAAGGAAACATCCTTGAATAGAGGTCCTAGTTTGGAGTAGGCCTCATATAACAGTACCCCCCGATATTCTGTATTTTGATGATTTGTGTCATACTTTTAACAGCAATTGTTTCAAACTTGGTATTAGGAGTTCTTAATGCGTACTACCCTCATTTGATACAAAAAATCCATATAACGCCACCTCCAAATATTTAGTATTTAAAGAATTTTATCTACATTTTCAATAGAATTCTCGTAAAATTAGTATTTGGAGTTCGTAATAGGCGCCGTCTTCTCTAGCTTGACTTTAGAAGTCCACGTCATCGTATTGAACTATATATACAACTGTTAATGCTGATATTCGCCATTTTTAAAATTATAGCGGAAATTAGTTTTTTCTTGTTTTCAGATATGGTCGCTTACTTACCCAACCAGGACTGCCGTTTAAACGATCGCAGCTGCTGCCCTTACCAAGGTCCAGCAGCAAGGACCCCTTGTACCACCGCAGTGCAGTGTGAATAAATTCCTTGCCGCTAAATGATTAAAACGTTAATTAACATTTCAATATACCTATATTTTTGCACAAAATGTCTTTTTTGAGTTTTTTGTTTTGTTGTTTTTTATCATTGCTTCAATTTAACATTCAGATGGTTTAGTTTCACAAATGAACATTTTTTTTTGTTTGAAGTGCACTTTTTTAGTAATTTGCTATTACTATTCCCTTAACTATGAAAAAACTTCCTAATTCTTCACACAAAACTTCCTAATTCTTAATTCTTCACACACTCATGTTCAAATCAAATCACTCTCAGAACAACGACAAAATATGTCCCATCCCTAACAAATGAGAGCATTTATGAAAAAAATTAATTATGACATTTAAAAATTAAAAATAGAAAAATTTAATGAAATTTAAAAAAAAATTGGGAAGACTGAAAATTATTAATGAAAACTACAATGTTGATTAGCATATGTACATTCAAACGAAAGTACATTTTGTTTTCTCTCTCATCCGAAGTGCGCATTTTGTCCACGAGTTGAAATTTCCACAGAAAACTGAAAACAAAAGAGGCAACATTTTCAAAATGTTTGTACCGGCAAAAAAAATGTTTGACAAGTGTCTCTTTAGCAGAATTAAAAATAGAAAAATACAAAAATATGTGCAAAATGTCAACATTTACACAAAAAGTTGAAAACATGAATAAAAATTGTAAAATTAAATAAAATGATAAATCTTTGGGAGAAAAACAATAATTTCTTCTATTCATATTAGTGAAAATTTCATGTATTTTCGTATAAAAACCCATTAAAATCAACAAACAAAATATTTGAAAAAAGGAATTATTTAACTATGAATTACGAATCGTGCCGTATGAACGGGTTAATTCGTGTGCATAATTCTCAGTGCGAATAACGTGATTGAAAGTGCAATGAAAACAAAGCATAAAACAAAATCACCTTCGTTCGGAAATCGTTCCTGTGACATGCTTGTATATTTCAAAATATATTATTTCTAACTAAAATTACTTCCTTGCATCAAAGTTCGTTTATTTCTCGTATTATTCATTATACCCTACACCACAAGGTGGTCAGGGTATTATGTCTTTGTGCATTTGTTTGTAAAAGGCAAAAGAAAACGAGTTCCGTTTGATGATCTGCATAGAATTACATTCTGAGTCGATTTATGCATATCCGTCCGTCCGTCTGTCCATGTATTTTTGTAAACAAAGTACAGTTCGCATTTATTGCCCTATTCAGATGAAATTTTGCACGAATCATTTGGCCCAAGGACGAAATTGGAGACAATCGGTCAAAATTTCGATATAGCTCCCATATATATCTTCGTCCGATTTGCCTTTTATTGTGTACCAAACGTGTAATTTCAGCCCGAATAGTATGGAATTTTGCAAATAAATATGCCAAATTTGATCGAAATCGGTTCAGATATAGCTATAGCTCCCATATATATTATTCATCAGATTTGTTATATTTGTTACCCACAGCCGTAATATGAAAGAATCGAGGAAAGAACCCTGTTAGTGTTTTTGCATTTATTCATTGGCATCGGACATTTTTTTTTTGGATATGCTAAAAAACATAACATGATAAATAAAAGCAAATGACATTATTTTTTTAGGTTCACATACATAATTTAATTTTTTTACCGGATCTTTGACATAAATTCTAATTTATAGATATTTTTCATACGATAGACACATTCACACTGACCAGATTTCCACAGCACATTGGTAAGATACCCTATTGTACATAGCTGTTCTTCCACATTTCTGACCCAATCTTGAAGAAGTTGATATACTATCTGAAAAAATATACAAAAAAGTTAAACGTATTTAGAATGTTTATATATTTATTTAATGTGTTGCAAACCATTATAAAATATCAGCTTTATTTTGAAATTTTGTATAAGGAAATGTGTGGTTAAACTATTATGAAGGTGATAAAAATAATTTTGGTGCCAAATCAAGCTCATATTTAAAAAACCCGCACAAAGTACGGCTTTAACCCTGAAATTTATATATATATATATATATATATATATATATATATATATATATATATATATATATATATATCAGGGTTAAAGCCGTACTTTGTGCGGGTTTTTTAAATATGAGCTTGATTTGGCGTTCTGACATTCTTGATGATGCCAAAACACATCACAATACGAGCAAATTAAGAACAAAACAACAACAAACAAACAAAACAAAATAGTGCACGGTTATATTGCTTTCTACAGGCATACAAACATAACTAAAAACGAAGTCTATAAAAAAGAGCAAAAACAAAGCAAGTATTGAGAATGAAACTAAATGTGAAATTTTGTATGCCTATTATTTTTTGCATGCTGTTTTCTTGAATGCACACTATGGAAGGAATTGACAATCAGTTGCAAGGTGAAATGAAGAATTCACCCCCTTACATGAAATTTTAATGAGTTTCATGGATTAACATTAGAATTTTAATTACTTTCAATGAATAATACTATAATCAGTCCCGTTATTAAAAGTGGACACCTGGAATAAATGACATTAGTTATTATATAAAATCAAAAATTGGGGAGATTATTTATTTATTATATAATTTGTATATATTTATTATATAATTATATAATAAATATATACAATTTGATGTTACATTCAGATAATATATGACCGACCGATAGTGTAATGTTAAAAAAAATTGCATTTGGCAGGATCGGAGTGTTCGTAATAGTGTTATGTATTAAAAATAGGTTTGTTTACTCGATGCAATTTGCTCTGAAAAGAGATTTATGATAATTTGGTCTAATATTAAATGGATTTATGGATCTTAGGGAGGTTCCGCTTTGATTTCACTTTTCCATGTTAAAGTTAGTTCTGATTGCCATAGGAAAACATGGTAAACTCGATATATAGGTATGGTAGAGTACTGTTTGGCCGATTCATCAACTTGATTATTTCCTAGAATTCCTATGTGGGATGGAATCCACATTATTTTCATGTTATCGACTCATCTTTTGTGTAAAGAGTGGTTGAAAATTTCTTTATGGTCTCAATGACCAGCCTAAGATTGCTCCATTTTTGTTTTGGTCCCGTTTGGCGTTTTGGCGTCTGACATCGTTAGTGATCACTTGCTATCAGAATTTAAGGGGCTTAACACAGGATTGACCAATTTATATACTGATAGCATTGGTTTTTATTATAATGTATTTGTTTCCTCCGGAGTTGGTTAAAAACATCTATATTAAATAGTAAAATTTTAGGTTTAAAGTATCAAATATTTATATTTTGTTTGTAAAATAGGTGGTGGCGTTCTTATTGCAGTCGATGCCAAATATATCACTAATTTAATAGATCTAAATGGATTTCTTTATATAGAGTTCATTGGTGTTTCCATTGAATTGGGCACATTTAAATTGTTTGAAATTTGTTCTTATATTCCACTTTCATCTTCACTTGACATTTATAATCAGCATTTATCAGCTATAAATTTAATCACTGTACGATGAAAGATTCAGATTGTATTCTGATTCTTTGTGGTTTCAATATGCCTTGCGTTAGGTGGCTTCCAATGTCAGATTTGATTCCTTTGCCATCCGAAATGCACGAAATCCAGCATACATTTAAAGTTATAAATTGTTTTTGTGACATAAATCTTCATCAAATAAACGGCGTGAAAAATTCCCAAAATTCTTGATTTGACATTTGTAAATATTACACAACATTTTGAAATATTCAGAATTCTTCCAATGTGCACTCCTGAAGATATCTACCATCCAACAATATTTATCTCCATGACTCACAGTACTGAATTTGAAGCTCAGTTCGATTAATTTAAAACTGTCCTTGATTGAAAAAAAAAACTAATTTTCGACAACTTAATATTTCTTTCGTAAATTGGGCACCTGTGTACCTGTGTAATATCCATAAATATCTAGAATATGTAATTGATAAATTTTATGATATTTTAAATAGACTTAAACTGGAATGTGTTCCAACTGTGAAAGTTAAAAATTCCAATAAATATCCATGAATAACACCTGAGTTATCACGTTAAAAGAATTCTAAAAATAAGCAGATTTTTCGCCCCAACCTGGCAAATTAAATATTCGTATCCTTATAATTTGTCACGGGCTGATGAAATTTGTATGCCTTTTCTACAACGTCAAGAGGTATCTAATAGTTTGCGTCATTTAAAATTGATCAAATGTCCCTGCCCGGAGGGCATACCTAATATAATTCTTAAGCATTGTTCAGAAAATTAGCACTCCCTATAACTATATTGTTTAGTTATTCACTTAAATTTTTCATCTTCCTACTTTCGGGAAAAAATTTTATATTATACCTTTACCATACGTATGTAAAGGTATAATATAAAATTCTTTCCCGAAAGTAGGAAGATGAAAAATTTAAGTGAATAACTTAAGTCTTACAAATGTGTCAAATTATAGAGGAATTGCAAAATTAAGTGTCATTACAAAATTGTTCGAAAAAACAGTAATTTCACTCATAGATTCTAACTGATAATTCATCCGGTAAACCGTTAATATATAACGAAAAAAGTGTAGGACTTAAAATACAACCTTGACATTGAGAGTAATGACATTAGTAAGATTGAATATGTCGTCAACTGTAAAATAGTATGTTCTAAAACCAGCCGGAAATTCATTGAAAACTTGTATTCGTGTTAGCAGTGTGTAATACTATAATTTTTTTCGGATATTGTGTCCATAAGTGGTAAACCTAATTTACCGCAATGTTCGGTCGCCTTTTTTGAACAAATGTATCAAAATTGACTGAAATTGATAAAAAAAAACAACTTTTGTTTATTAGTGGAGAACGATTTCTAGTATCAGTGAGTTCAACATGATGCGTCTTCTTTTTAGAGTATACGGCACTACTCCAGATGTTAAATTCAGATAATGTATGACCGACCGATAGTGTAATGTTACAAAAATTGCATTTTACAGGATCGGAGAGTTCGTAATAGTGTTTTGTATTAAAAATAGGTTTGTTTACTCGATGCAATTTGCTCTGAAAAGAGATTTATGATTATTTGGTCTAATATTAAATGGATTTATGGATCTGAGGGGGGTTTCGCTTTGAATCCACTTTTCCATGTTAAAGTTAGTTCTGATTGAATTGTATTGTGCTGTAATTGCCATAGGAAAACATGGTAAACTCGATATATAGGTATGGTAGAGTACCTGTTTGGGCGATTCATCAGCTTGATTATTTCCTAGAATTCCTATGTGAGATGGAATCCACATTATTTTTATGTTATCGACTCATCTTTTGGGTAAAGCGTAGTTGAAAATTTCTTTATGGTTTCGTTGTAGTGCTTTAAAGACATATAAGTGTTCTTCCCGTCAGTTCTGAAGCGTGTTCATGGCTTCAATGACAGCTGCTAGCTCTGTGGTGAACGTACCTACTCTGTCTGGTAATCGACAAGCACAAATAGTTTCATAGTCAGTGGTTGATATTTATTTTACAACGGAAAATGAGGAGTTAACTCCATTAAAAGAACCATCAGTGTACAAAATCGTCTGGGGCTGTAAGAAGAAACCTTATCAGCCAAGAGAGTTTTGAATACACGTAGGTTGATACTATCTTTGTTATAATTACTAAGGCCATGATCTATAGAGAAGCCGCAGGACGTTGGTGGGTGTTCGGGAATAGTGATATTATAATTCGTAAAGATTTTTAAAATGTTTCCAATACCAGAACTATACCGATTTAAAAGACGAATTCGGCTCCAAAAGCTTTTATGCAGACCATCACATTTTAGTGTTATAGCTTTGGATGCCAGGCTTACGGTACGTTCCTCTAATATTTCTGAAAAGCTTGTAAAGCGGCATTCAATTTTTAAAGATTCAATTGGTGTTGCTCTTATAAGGCCAGAAACTGTTCTAAAGCATTTATTCATTGCTGTATCGATTTTTTAATGTTTGATTTAGATGTCCAACCATATATTGTAATTCCATGAGATATTGTACCTATTACTAGAGTTTTACATATGTTCAAAGCGGTGTCAATATGAGATCCTTTTTCTTGAAGCATATTAGCCTGAGTAAGTTATTAATTTTGTCCAATTTTGAAACCATGTAGTTGATATATTCACTACACAACATATTTTTAATAAAGTTAATGCCAAGAATTTTTAGGCTAGACGACAGATGAATTATGCGGCTTTGTAGAACTATAGCGTTTTCTCGACAGCACCTACGTCTACAAACATGTAATCCCACGGTAGCGGGTTCTACGATACCGGATTGACCCGAAACAACAAGGTCCCAGTTTCGGCCAGCTGCTGCCTAACCAGTATGTACATGTTTGTGTTTGTTTATTTTTCTGCATTTGGAGCAGCATATACCGGAATGCTTGCTCCGAATTACTCAGGCTAATATGCTTTATTGGTCCGTGCCGGGATTGAGGAAAACCCCGGACCTTGGTTCTGCTCGGTTTGTCAGAACGTCATCCACCACAGATCTGCTTCGGTGCGATGTAATGATGGCACTCCACCGCAGTCTCCAGAACAGCAACCAACACCGCAGCACCTAACGCCACATGTTGCTGTTCTAACTCCGGATTGTGCATCATTCTTGCAATTCAATTAGAACGGACTTCGAGGCAAAATAGATGAGATAGTGTAAACCAAGCTGAATGAAAATTGCAGCTTTGCATTGTTATGGTTACAACGTACTAAGGAAGGATCGCACCAGAAGTGGAGGTGGGGGATTAGCGTTCCTGTTACACCATTCTGTTCAGTACAGACCTATCTCGCTTGAGCTAGTCTCTAGTGACCCATACATGGAATGTA